ATTTCAACTCGGCCATCACTATAGCCGAAGCCTCAAAGTGCAAACGCTTGAGATGCGCTTGCATCCCAAAACTCAATTCAACTCCACCATTTATCTGCGTAGAAAATTCTTTGAACTGTTCCTCTGTAGGAGGTGTTTGCGGTGTCCCCGACGCAAATGCCAGGGCACTCAAACTTTTAATCCCATTGTTCACCAGTAGCGTTGTCAAACTGCCGTCAGCAACCAGCTTGTTGCAATGCTGTTCAAAGGCCGCTTCCGAATCGGCAAGGGACATCTTGGCTACAGAAAGACAAACTGTGAGTTCAAATCTGTTTCACGCAATCTTCAAAAGACCAAACTGAACGATGTCTGACTGAGGTCTTTGAAACTGAAAAAGGTTTAAGTGGGTGCACTGCATGACTGATTGGTGCATCGAATTTGATTTTTTTTTAAATAAAATCTTGACATCATGCACTCATGTTTGCAAACCCCAACATCTCAACGACCTATCGTTTCCGCTTGAACCCTCCAAGCTTCAACGATTCCTCGTTGACTGAGCAGTGCACTCTGCCCACTAGTTGAAGTCAATTTGAAAACTCATCAAACAACCTGTCACCTGTTGCCTTGAGTTCCAAGATGCAAACATGGATGAAATCGCAATCTGAAATGATGTGCATGACTAAAGCAAGAATCTCAGCTGGGATCCACACCAAACGTAAGAATCCAAGTTTTTCCACGTTTTGCGGATCATTGCAACTCAGCTGTCTTTCAGCCTGAAACATGCCTTGCACTTGGCTGAGTCGTATCTGACTTCGCCCTGGTGCTCCCTGAACCCTGACGTGATCCTCCTTCCACATAGAAGGACCTTCACATACTCGGCTCCTGAAAGGTGAAACATGCGTGAGTTTTTGTTCAGCCAAAGTTTCTTATCTGCAGGAACATCTATCAAGTAGTGGCCAATCACCGGTGCATAAGCTCGACACTCACTCTCGGAAGAGTCACTCGAGTCAGTAGTGATATGGCCTTGTCCAGGGTCTTCCGTCTCTAGCTCTGTCGAGCCTTCCACTGTAATTTTCTGCCAGGACCCTTCAGACATGTTTTCAACATTCTGAACTGAAGATCCAACGCTTTGAAACTGCTGAACTTTCGGATTGAAAGAAACGGCTTCAACCTGATCAAGAGGAATTGCATTGGCCTTGAGCCTGCCACTCCTCGTGCAGTCTGGATCGAAGACGCCCTGCTTGATTTCACTCAGGACGTGTGCCAACAAAGCTAAGGGTCTGGCTGCGCTGTCTCGGCTGTATACCAGAGCCATCTTCATAGAATTGGCATGATACCCTAAAACCAACCTGTCCTCAAACGAAGCTCCTCTCTTCGCCAGAAACGAAAGGCAAGTGCATTTGCATGAATGACTAGTGACCTTTGAAGCTTTGCTGACATGATCACCCAGTAACTCATGCATCCAAAGTTTGGCCTCCTGTGTGCTGAGGGGCCGACGCGTAGGTTCCAGCGTGCTGTCAGGCGCTGGCATCAATGGGTACTTGGACAAGTCATCAATCTTCAAGACTCTTCTAGCATGAGTCCACTGGAAACCCCAATTGTCATCAGTGACCCCATAAGATGGTGCCGCCATTGGCAAGTATTGATGCCTGACATGAAAAGCTCTGGCCGTTTTGTGCACTGCCGTTTTTGCCTCAAGAAACTGTATGAATTGCTCACTGTCCCTGTCCTCAATCAGTTCTTCAGTGTGCTGAGCGTCCGACCACCTAGCTCTTGCATAGACGCAGAAGAGGACCATGCCAGCCATCACTCTGTTCCAGATTTCTTCTGACTCACGCAAAACAGTATGGAAAATTTTAAGTTGTGTAACAGTGAACGGGTCAGCCTGTCTCGGACAACTCAAACTCCTGCTGAATGCAGCCCCAGTGCATCTGCGGCTCTCCGTCAACGCTTGTAAGGATTCAACCCCTAACAAGTACCTGACAAAGACCAAAGCTTCAAAAAATGACTTCAAACGTGATGCAGGAGCTCCCCTTGCTGACTCCTGCTTCAAGAAGCTGTAAAATTGTTCCTCACTGCAAGGAAAACGAATCTTTTCCTCCTTCAACGCACTGCACATTTTCTGAAGACTGTTAACCCGCTTCATCAAAGTCTGTGGAGCCTTATTGTAAAAAACATCAACAAGTATCTGAGCCTTCTCTTTGAAAGTTGAACAGTGGTGCAAAGCTGTAATCAAGGCTGAGCAGTCTGTCACCCAATCATCTGTAAGGGCCACCCATCGTCTGACGGCAGTTTCCCAGACGGCTTCACGCTCTTCCCTCCAGCTGCGCTCAGGGATGTCCCTGACATGTTGTAGAAAACCCTTGACCTCCTGGAATGGTTTTGGGAAAACCCGTCTGTCAATTTCAGTTGAAGGTGCACTGTTGGTGTCCTCCCAAATTGGGGCCGGTAAAGGTCTTTTGAATCCTTTCTCCAGCATGTCCATAGCAGAAACAGTAGGGTCCAAAAACTTCTCCCAGAAATTTCGTTCCCAGGGCAGCTTAGGCGTCTCTGCAGTGAGGCTTTTCCAAGCCGACTGTACCACCGCTTCTGTGTTGTAACCTTCTGCCAGGTTCAAATCATCGTCAGGTGAAAACTCTGGCAAAAAACCTGAAAAATCAGTTCGAATTGATGGAGAGTAGCTAACATCGTCATGTTGTTGCAAACCAAACAGATCTGAAGATATAACCTGCCACTGTGAGTCCTGCATTTTTCCAGTAACACCAGCTGGTGCATCATCACGAATTTCTGCACCGCCTACTTCTGAAGTTTGCAAGTCTGTCGCTTCCATATCTCCAAAAAAAATGATCAGTTCCTCCAAGGCGTTCACAGCTATCCTCTGTAGAAACTACCATGGCTAAACTACATTGCACAAGCTACCCCCATGCAAAAATTCACAACCACTCAAAAGTGAAGTGAAAAACCCACCTCACCCACCCTGGTTTGAGGCGTGCGCGCACATAGACATTCTGTCTTTGATGTTTTGAAGGTTTTGACTGTTTTCTCAAAAACCTCTCAACAAAACAAAACGCAAACCTAGAGCCTCTTTGTTTTGTGTCAAACGTGAAAACCGTCCTCAAAAATAAAACAGGTTTGTTTCCACGTTTTTTCATTTTTTAGTTGTTTACGCACAGGTGTGAAACACAGGAAGTGGAAGCTAAAGCACCCAACCTAATTTTGTCAACACAAAATTTTTCCGTATCTAAACAAATAAGGGGATCATCATTTCTTCGAAATGAGTTGCTCCCAAACCCTCTGGCTCCACCACTGATGACTCAACCAACTCCATCGGCTGACTGCCATCCTTCAAGCTTGGTTGTGCTGCCCTGCATGCTCGTAGCCACGGAGTCCCTCCCCACAACAGCACGTCACTAATGAGCGTTCCACTGTCCTCGTGGTAGAGGTACGTCTCTCCAGGTGACTGAATCACACTCCAACCCTTCTTGACCAACTGAGTTGTCGAAATAATGTTGTGTGATACATCCCCAATACAACAGGCCAATTTGAATGATTGAGTCTTCTTCTTTCCAGATGCCCCAGTCACAACCTGAAATGCCAAGCTTACCAAAACGTTGGCCCTCATGTGAACTGGAGTCCCATTCGCTGCATAGTAGGTTTCCAATGCTCCTGCCAAATCCTCCTGAGCCTGGCAACGATACATGCCCTCATAGTTCTGCGACAGCACCGACGTGGCAGCTCCAGAATCTAACAACCACCAAGCACCAAGTTCCCTCTGAACTTGAAACCTGTGATGAAATGAGCGGCATCATAATCGCTTCTCCAGATTCTTGCTCTTCTTCTTGAAGTCCTTCGGCTGAAACTTCATGCATCTTTCCTTTGCGACCACCTTTTCCTCGTCCAGCTTTCGCTGCAGGCTTGGCCTTGGCTGCACCTGAACCTTTCCCAGTGCTCGAAGACGGAGATGAACTTGCAGACTTCGGACTGCTGGCTTGGCAATTCGCGCCAATATGCCCGCTCTGTCCGCACTTGAAGCACTTCACACGACCCATATTCGTGCTGCAATCCTTCTGCATGTGTCCAGTCTTGCCACACTTTCGGCATTTCACTCCTGATTTTTTGTTGATTGCGGCAGTGTTGAGCCACAGCTCACTCTCTGGATCCCATTCCCACTCCTCTTCGGCTCCCTCGGCGTAGTAGTCCTGCTCATCTTCGTAGCCGCCATAGTAGCTCTCCCAGCCACCTTCGGCTTCCAAGGCGTGCATGTTCCGCCCTGCTCCCCCACCCAGCTCCTGGAACAACCTCTGCTGTTGTTCGAACTTCAGGGCTGCCGTGCGGTAGTCAGTGTAGCCCTCACCTGACGCATGCAAAACGACATAGTTCTTCACATCACTGGGCAAAGATCTCAGCAACATCAACGTCAAGTCGACCTGTTGCAAATCCAAGCCAGTCTTGTCGCAATGCTGAGGCAAGGTATCGATCAACTTCCGATACTTGGACAAACCAACGTCCATTTGTCGGACTAGATCACTGATCTGTGTAGGGCCACTCTGTGCCTTAAACGTCTTGGACATGAACTCAGACCTGAAAAATGCAGCTTCCGCTCTTGATCTCAAACTGAACTCCTTTGCAAGCAAACGCAACGCCTCAAAACCAGACGTTCCTCGCACTGCCTGAAAAGAACCATCCATACCAATTCCTTCTGAATAGGCCTGTAGGATCATATGAGCTCGTGGATACTCTGCAAACGCCTGAGTTAGGATGGCCAGCAACCTGGCACTACGAAGTTGCTGTGCAGGTTTCAGATTCGTCATGTGCAGTTCGTGCGGCCAACTCAGTGCACTTTCAAGCTCCCACCCAAACGTGTCACTTGCCAATGCTACTTTGAAACTGACAACCAAAAGTGCAAACAACACAAGTCGCCCAGTGCTGCCTTTTGTTGCCACATGCTAGATGTCGCTTGAGCCACCGGGCACGGTGGAAGACAGTTGGTGTCACATGTGATGGCTGGACAGCTGGATTGATCAGTCGGCAGGCTTGGTTTGATACTTACTTTCACACCCATTATGTTTTTCTGGCGTGAGATCAATCCAGAGCCCTTCCATCACCTGAGACAAAGTGCCGGGACGCATCGCCTTGGTTAGGCTGTCCGCGGCCATCTTTTCTGTGCATAGCCAGTGAAGCTTTGTCGTGGCTTCTGCTGGCAATTTGTCGGTGATCAGTGGATCACCTGTTTCTTCCTGCAGCTTTCGCCAGATTTGCTGGCGGATCCCTGTTAGATCTATCGCCAGTCTTTTGTCACTGGTCGAATGAAGACCCGGCTGGTTGACGTACTCCTCCAAGCTCCGGCAGTCTGTGAAGAGGTCCACATGGATGTAGTCCATCGCTTCCACCTGCCATGACTTGTCATACCGATGGTGTTCTCGGCGTAGTCCATGGAGTACCATCCGTAGATGTTCACATTCTTCCATTCCAGCCAACAGCGAAAGGGTCTCAGCTTGGAGAGTGCTGCGGCAGACTCTCTTGACCGTTGTGCTGTGCCAATCAAGCAACAGCAGTGGTCCCTGACAAGAAGTCTTGAAGTCAGGACCACTCAGGCATAGGAGTCTTCCGCTTTGGCTCCTAAATCCTGAGGTCTTTCCAGCTTCATTCACCTCAGCATCATTTGCAAAGCTAGCATCTTGTAGTCCCACGATCGCCGCCTTGTCAAAGTCAAAGGCCTTGAGCGGGTAGTGCAAGCCAACATTCTTGGATGCCCTGGCAATGGCGATCACCTTGTTCGCAAATGCCACATCTCCATATGTCGCCTGACTGACACGCGACTGCAGGTAGTTCACTGAGTAGGCGAGGTCAGGGCGGCAAACCCTTGCCAACCAAGCCAGTGAACCAATCACTGAGCGAAGCTGCAGTCGATAGCTTTCAGTGACTGCCCCTTGTTTGTTCTTTCTTTCAGCTGTGCTCATATAGATCGGCTTGACTCGATCTATGAGACTTGGGCAAGTCACATGCACGCCTGTGGAGTCCTTGACGATCTGGCGTCCGCAGTACTTGAAGTCATTCTTCTCCACCTTGCCGAACTTGTAGATCTTGATAATCTCCTGCATCTTTTCCTCCATGAGCTTCCCGCCAGTCCATAGGATGTCATCCACGTGTACAATCGCTAGTCCAGCGATTCCACCATTCTCATCATTGAGCACGAACGCAGCTTGTTCATGAGGTACAGGTCGTAGTCCAACCTTCATCGTTGTCGTGCGCAGGTTCTTGTACCATCCTCGAGGTCCATCTTTGGTGCCATAGACGGTCGTTGAGACCACATAGTATTCTCCTTGATCTTCTTCAGGTAAACCTTTTGGCATCTTCAAAACCAAAATGCGGTCCATGGCTGAACCTTGAAGAAAGGCCGCAGAGATGTCGCCGGCCCAGAGATCAACGTCTCTGCATGCTGCCATTGTCAACACTGTTGACAGCATGAGCTGACTGCATGTTGGTGAGTCAGTTCTCATCCGGCTGGCATCTTCCAAATCACCTCGCACAACGATGCGGGACTTCATCACAGGTTCTTGTCCCACTTCTGCTTTGTCAACTTCGACCCATCTCGTTGGGATGACCTTCAGCTCAGGGTGTTCCTTCTTCATCTGCTGTAGTTCAGCTTCTGAAATCCACTTCCCATTGGTGTAGGTCTTCCAATTGTTCCATTCTTTCAGTCGTGATGCGTCGAGCTTCTTCTGGATCTCGGGCTCCTGTTTGTCATAGATCACCTCTCTGCCTGCTCCGGTCTTTTGATTGCGCTTCGCATACTTCTTCACCTTCGTGGTCACCTTCTTGTCTCCTCTGGTCGCGACAAAGGCGAACTGCTTGTCCTCCTTGTAGGCCACGTAGGATCTGGGATGTCCATCAAGACGTCCAGGATCGCGAAGTGCCTCGTTCAATGTGCCTGCTGGTACTTGATGATGTTGTTGATGTTGAACAGGTAGAGCAGAAGGTTGAGGTAGTCCAGGAGGTAGTCCAGGTGCTGCATTGGAAGTTGAGGTCACTTCAGACATAGTAGTCTCCGGGCTCACCTCATTCTCCGGTTGGCCGCTCGTGTCGCTGGTCGATAGGCTGGGCACCAAATCATCATCATCTAATCCAGGTGGTGTAAACACCTCAAAATCTGGATCTGGAGATGGTTCCGGTAGTTGTGGAAGTTGTGGTGCTCCATGATCAGCGGTTCCATCAGCAAATCCTCCTGGGGTAGCAGCCATTCCAGGTGGTGCTGGTTGTTCTTGTCCAGGAGCTTCCAATGGCATCACAGTCGGGGCATCGGTCACATCCACATAGGGTGCTTGTCCATCATATCTCGGCCGCAAATGCCTCGCTTCATCACCATCTCTTGAAAACGGTACTTGCTCCATTGGATTGTCCTCCTCTTCATCTGGCGATATCAACTGATATCTTCTCTTCCTGATCGGGCGTTGCTCCAGGATGTTCTTCTTGAAGATCTCCTCGGATGAAGATGGTCTGCACGATGTTTCTGCCACCAAAATGGTCACACCGCCATGGACCAACCACAGTGAGGCACGTCCTTCATATGCCAGGACGCGTGCCGGTCCATACCACTTTCCTTTTCTCTCAAAATTGACCATGTTGCCCACACGATATGGTCCCCTGATAGGGGCAGCTTTGCGCAGCATCGCTTTTCTGATCTTCTGGGAGCTGTCTACCTGCATGAAAGCTTCCTTTGCGGCTTGACGAATGAGCAGCTGAATCATAAATGATTCTTGTGGGGTCTTCTCCTCCTCCATGTCAACCAAGTTCTGGTGTAGCCCGTATTGCCTTTCTCCATCATGGCTAACCAAGCTGCTCCAATCAGTTGGTGTGTGTCCTAAGACCCACTGTGCAGGACTGAAACCTCCCAGGTTAATCGTCACATTTTTCACACGCGATGCTTCGGCACACAAGGCGGACATCGCTTCAGCACCGGCCAATTGTCTATTGTGAATGGCCTTCTTCATGATGGCCTTCAGCAAACCACCATGTCGTTCTCCGAGGCCAAGTTGGTGCGGTGCTTGTGCACCAATTCTTCTGATGTCCACGCCATGTGCCAGAAGTAGCCCTCGAACTTTTCCAGAATTGTGAACTCCTTGATCAGTAACCACAGCTCCCGGTGCACCAAATGGTGTGAACCAAGATTGGTTCATGGCCTCAGCACAAATCTTTGAAGACGGTGTTCCTTCAGATCCAAGTCTGACTGCGATCTGGTAGTGCGTGGCCACATCCACCATACTCAGCACCGTGTGTCGAGCTTCCATGGCATCATGGATTTCGAAGACGTCAATCGACACCTCCTTGTTGAACTGCATCTGGTGGGGCTCCTTCATGGGCTTGACAACTCGTGGTCGATCTTGATTCTTAATCTCATCACAACTCGCATCTGAAGTACCTGGCTGCTTGAATGACTCGTCTGTCACAGCCAGATGCTCGCAACATGCGAATGAGGGCTTCCGTTGAGCAATGGCCCATCATCGCATGCAGTCTCCTCAAATTTAAGCCACTCGTTGGTCCTTGCTGATCTTCAGCCAGTTGTCTCTTCTCACCTTCTCTTTGTACGCCACGATCTCGTCTGTGTTGTCCACGTACTTCTCCTCATAGTCTTCTTCTCTGTCCAGCTCCTCCAGGTTGATCCGACGCCGTTTCACAGGCATCTCCTCAGCGTCATCAGGTCCATGAATTCCATCAAGTGGACCCATTTCTTCTTGTTCTTCTTGTGCGGCTTCAGTCGCAAAAGCAAGTTGCACCACTTGACTTTTCATCTCCTCAACCGCACCCATGATTATGGAGAAGCATAGGCTCTCAGGCCACTGCTCAGCCTTCTTCGTTCTCGATCCTCCTTCAAGTCGTTGATGTAGATGTTGCCCATCACAACGTAGTTGAAGGAGCTCTTTCATCTTGCGAGATGAGAGCAGGAGTCCTGTAGCCTTCTGGACTGGTAGACTTGTCTCCTCATCCATGAGGCCATACATGCATTGGTCAATCCTCACCAGCTCCAGGGGCTCGTCCGTGATGGAGTTGTAGACAGGCTCCGTGAAGAGGTCCTCCACACAACGCAATCGCCATAGAAGCGATGGCCATGGGTTTTCAGCCAGCACTTCACGGCCTTTTGCCAATCTCGCTCTGACGATCTTGGCTACCCACTGAAGAACAGGGTACCATTCTTTGCGCTGCTGGATGATCTTCTCCCTGGTGTTTTCGTCTCGGGCCATGTTGATGTACTGCCAACTGCTCCAAGGTCCACATACTGGGGCAAGTGTGAGCAAGAAAGGGTCTTCGTCCTCAATCAATTTCTCAAGGTGATCTCTGTTCGCCTTTTTCAAGAGATTGTATCCCTGCAGAACCCAAAGTTGCCATATACACAACTTTAGGATCAAAGTTGTCTAAGATATAGCATATTATCATATAAAACGACTTTGGCTCTCGGATGCATCCGACATTGGATATTCATGGTTTTTGTGGTGTGCATCCGATCTCGATTTGGAATTTGTCGGGTCACGCCGAGAATTCCTCGGATAATTGTCGGATATCCGATAATACTGGAATACTGTCCGAGAATTCTTGGAGAACATGTTGTCGGATGCAGCTGCAGTATTGTCGGATATCCGATAATATTGGATCCTGTCCGCGATCTTATAAAATGCAAGAAATATTGTCGGAATTCCGACATTACAATCTCCGAATTGTCGGATTTCCGACAAGAGATAATTTGTCGGATGCCCGACAAAAATCTCGTGCCCGATCCCGATCGGTTTACACTACTGTGACTTGATGGCGCTTGATCTTTTCAGCACCATTTGCGCATTTAAGAAAAAGATGGTCGAGCAACATGGCTGTTATATATGCTTTCCCCTTCTAGGTATGAATAGTCCATGTTGCTCGCCACATATTATAGGATTGATTGTGAATTAACTATATCTATTTTTTATTATAGTTCCAAAACATAAAAAACTATCACAACTGTAACATGTATACCCACATGGCCCCCATGCATCAGGAGGACAAACGGCATTGAACCCCCAAAGATTTCTTTTGGGTATGTGGAAACATTTAAGAGCTCTAGAGCGGATCCCCATGGCGAAAATTTGCCATACTTAGAAATTATAGTGGCAGGGACAAACCATTCAGAACTACAGCGGGCATGCATGTGATGTGTTCTGCGGTCTATTGCCCGCTCTCGTCGCGCAGCATATGGGGCGGGGGTGTGCCCTATATATATATAGGCGGCAGTGCAAATAGCAGCAGCAAGTTTACATGACCAAAAAGGCTTTCAATTTCACAGTCTGAGATGAGATGATATACTTTTGCATCGTCTGTTTTGGTAGTAATGTCTGCCTTCACTCATTCATTTTTCGCTTTCAATTGGTGTCAGCATAGTTTCCCAGCGGGCGCTCCGCTACCATGGCTGCTGGCATGGGGCTAGAATAGCCATGCAAGGCCGGCCACTCTTTCCAAAAATACCACCAGTCATGCAAGGGGACACTGTAGGTTGCTAGAAGCTGCTGGCATGGCAGGTCATGCCGTGCGCCTTCCTTTTGATGATGTCAAATTGTACACAGGACTGCCTGTGCAAACTGCGCGCATTATTCACTTTGAAAACCTACAAGGTCCTGTTTCCAATATCTCATATATCATATAGGATATTTTCAACAGCAGGGTTTCCCACCAAAAGATAATTGTTTGGAGTTTCTTTTGACATTCTACGCGTGGTATACACCAAACCAAACCAATGGGGATATGAACAAGATGATAGTGATTTCAAATTGGAACCTGGGTACAAATTGGAACCTGGGTAAAAAAAACGAGTTTTGATTGCCAAACTGCCCCTATATGTTATACCCCTAATGTCCCAAAAAATCCTCCTATGTTTTGCCCGTGAGGATGAGAAGTTGCACCCGAAGCAGGTGCCGTCCTACCCACACAGCCCGGGGTTTGGAAGGGTCATGTAATATGGCAAACCCAGTAACATATAAACCAGCATATTCTAAGTACACAGTATTATTAGCCAGGGAAAATAATACATACCTGAAATGTTCTTACTGGGTTTACCATATTGTAGTGGATCAATGTGAACCAAACCAGGTTTCCAACTTGTGGCACCGTTTCTTTGTGATTGTATTGGCATATGATTTCCCAAAAATATTTCAGTATAAAATATAATGGATAGAATTGCATTAAACCTTCCACAGTCAGGTTCGCGCAGTTGCATGGGCCCCCCCAAAAAAATGAGATTATTTGCAGCCCTTTTTGTACAAGAGTTTCACCAGATTTCCAGAGAGATATATATCTTTGTTAGCCATGGGTGCCAGCCGTGTGCGGAAGGTGGACAAGCCCAAGAAAGTGACCAAGAAAAACAAACGTAGTGGGGGAAAGGATAAGAAGCCAACCAAGCCTCCCAGATGCCCTGCCGCAGAGCGGCCTGCTTTGTTCCGGTGTCCTTTCAGTGTTTCCCCGAAGCTGCATCCGAAGTTTGCGGCGATGCTTCTCGATTGCACATGCTCTGGAAAACAATCCTGGAGTGACCATTAAGCAACAAAACATTTTTGATAGGGACAAGAGCTTTGAGCATGTGAAACCATTTTGAAGCCATCATCCCATTCAACTACTAAACGGTTTTGAGATTTCCTTCATGGTTTGATGGTTGCCTGCAGCAACCATGCCCTGCCACCACACAGCATGTAGGGTTCCCTTTTGCCCATGGATTTTAATTTCTATCTGAAACAATATGGATGTTGTCCTTCCAAAATGCTGTCATTCCTGGTCAGTTGAAGGAAAGTAGTCACCAAGCAGTGAAAAGCAGCAGTGAAACGTGTTGGCGCGCATGCAGGGCACTGCACAGTTCGGTCAAAATTTAATAGATCCAACATGGTCCAACAATTAGGGACATGGTCCAACAATTAGGCCCGTCTTGTTTTTCTACATGACAGGACCCTGCTACTTCCCAATCTCAGCAGCTCTCAGGTTGCAGATCCTCATATGCGCTGGGCTGCCGTTTTCACTGCTGGCCATGACCGAGAAAACCATGCAACACATGGGCAAGCCAGAGTTGGTGACTTGGGTTCCAAGATTTGGGTTACTCGTAGGGATCCATCCAAATTCCATCAACTCAATTTGGTCTAAAATCAAGTCTTTGTCAGATCGATGTCACAAGAAATCTGAATCACCGAAACAAAATTCTATCACGTGAGTCGTTTTGATGATTGATGTGTTTCAACCCAAACTTGAGGATCTGGACTGCGCAGAGCTCTTTGCGGGAGTCAAATCTGTGGCGAAGGGATTCCAGCCAGAAACTTAATCTACTTGGTGTGACATGGGCTCCAGCCTTGCACATTGGAAACCACTGCATGCGGTAAACCCAAAGAGAACCCCATGCCTAAGTTATACATGTTGTGAGTTATAGATTATAGGTTGTAACGGTTTGAAGTACAAACAAAATCATAAAGTTGTTCTTGGGCTCACTGCTAAGAGATACAAAAACATCAATAGCATATCATGGGGCGTGAATCTCAGGTACTATGGCCTGGGTGCATCCACCTTTGAGATCAATGACGATCCAATCTACCAGGATATGTTGAGTCCAATGGGATTCTGTTTTGCCCTGTCACTTTGCGTTTGCCTCTTTAAGCAGGCGCCGCATGACGTTAGTTTTGCACATCAAATTGTAATGGAAACACATCAAAATTATTTCCCATCTAAAATAGATAAATAGTTTCATCCATGTACCTTTACACACTTCCCCATGTCAGTGCTGACCATCCCAGTCCTTTCAGGCAAGGTAGGCTTCACTTTAGCTGAGCGCACTCCTGCGGCAGGCCGGGCTTGCGTTTTTAGCACCGGTATGTTCGAGCTGGGTATGGATAAATCGGTAACTGGGCAGCACATAAAACAATCTAAAAATCACACAAAGAGCACCGATCCAATTTATTTGGGCCAGGGAATCCCTGGTTTCTCATTCAGGCATACTAGTGGCAGATCAGCTGAAGCGCCACTTGGCCGGTATGTGCAATGCCCAACAGTGCAAGATGCGATGCTAGACAGCATATAGTTTGGGATCGGAGGGTCCTTCTGCAATCTTTCAACCGTAAATAAAACATCAACATTCTGGAGTATGCCAAAGAATTGAGAACCATCAATACATTTGTTTTTGAATTTCTTTATGAAACGCCAGAAGAGTGCCAAATACAGAAGAATGTCTGGACTGAAAAACCAGAGTCCTAAACTGTATGAAGCGCTGCTGATCTCTTTGATGCAAACATTTAGGCTTTCCAGGTGTTTGATTGGAACCGTGGGTTGCTGCGTGCTTCGTGTAAAGTAGTCATGACAACAGACGGTGGTTCCTCGCCGTGCTCGGAAACCATTGAGCACGTGGAGCTCCTGCAAGAGATGGGGGCTTCTATGCTCAGTGAGATGTCAGAAGATCACAAGGAACCTCTCGGAATTGATGTGCTCATGAAGGATTATAAAGGGTTCATCGGTAATTTTATGTTCATTGGATGGTCATGGTCATGTTTGACAAACATATGGAATTCGTGATGTACTGTTTGGGTTCCAACATCGTTGGTCTCGCATGGTGGGATGACCCCATCAATGTTTCTCACCTACAGGAGGAGTGCATCGTGGGTCTGCATGAGATCCCTAGTCAGTCGATCCTGCTGGGTGACTTTGAACATGATTCCGAACACCAACTGCTGTCACCTGGTGAAAGTAAAGTCCGGCGTCAATTACCAAAATGAATATATGTTCCTATCCCATCTTATCACCAGCCATCTAAGGTCCAGGAATTTCTGGTGCGTATCGGTGCTGCTTGAGTTTGAACCTTTTCGCCACCGCTGCCCAACTAAGCCAGAGCTTAATGTTGTGTGGCGGGCATTCGACCACAAAGCGAAGGCACTTGTTTGGATCGTTTCTTTCGTATCAAGATTATGTTGATTTTGGATCTGGCGGTGTCACCATGTGTCCCCCGATGTCACCATGTTTTATTTCCATTTCCCAAAAAAAGAACCCTTCTCCTGACTCCAGGGTTTGGCGCTTCGACCTCATGGCGGCCTCGATTCAGAGGGTGTTTTGGACTCTCTGGTGAAGCAGACCCGTGTGCTTTGGTCGTCAATCCGCAGGCTGGGGGCTGCATTAGAAAGGCATGATGACATTACCTCAAGTCATGGGATATCTTTGATTGTCATGCCAGTTTCTACATGATTTATAGCATGCAAGC